TGACTGTTTAAATACACGTGGGTGGTTCTAATCACATCTGAATCCTGTTCTCCAGATCTGTTTTTATGTTCTATTGATGGTATTTTCTGCAGTAGTATCTAGAGGAAAAAACAGAGTTCTATTAACTCCTGTTTCGTGCCTGTTTTAAATTGTGAGGAAATGTCTCCCGCTGTTAAGAGTTGAGACGATCTATGATAAAGGGTGCAAAGTATATTTATGCTAATGCATGAGAATAATTACGTGTGCTTTCAAAGATGTGTAACTGTGGAGGTGTGCTGTAATGACAGGCTGCTCAACTAGCTTAGAAAAAAGGCCATGCATCTCTCTTTGTGCTGGTTAACATAAGTTAAACATAAAGGCATTTGGATTTGTGGGTGTTTTCTCTGATATTTAAAACAAAAATTGGGGTTTTTATTTCATCTGTGTTGTGACCACCGACAGCACAGTCTTTCTCAGTGTCCTTTTAAGTTGTTTCATACCCTCTTTAGTGGGTGTTTCTTCCAGCATGTGGATTCCCAGCTGCATTGCTTTTCTCCAGAGGTGCTGGTATTTCTTTTTAAAGCCAACTCTGTGTATATGATTAGTGTATGCAGTGTACAGAGTTACTAGCAAACAAAATACAAAATTACGTATGGTTGCAAGCTGCATTTTGGCAGACATTTATAGGCCTGTCTAAAATCTTGCTCTCTGTTGTTCCTACTGGGTAAATATTTACATCTCGGATGTCCCATTTCTTGGCAGTTCCAACACAGAGGTGAAGAACTGTGTAAGCCTTGTAAGCTGTCTTAAAAGTTAAGGGAAGTCTGAAAGAGCAAGGTGAGGGTACCTCCATGTACTGTGTAGTAAAGGTAGAGGATTTTTTTCTAGAAAGGGGCTCTGATCTGGTTTTATCAGCCTCTCCCCTGCTTTGCTTTTCTTTTTTTTCACAATTAAACATCAATAGCCTTGTACTCTGCCACTTTGATGCTTTGTAAATCTACAAAACCCAAGTACGCGCAGTTGCAGGCTAACTTTTAGACAAAAAGACCCATTATTTCTGTGTATTGGAACTGACCAAATATAATGTGACTCTTTCTAAACCAAGCTTGAAAATGGGTGAAAAGGAGTGAAAGGAGTGCTTTAATTTTCTTTTAATCTTCTATAAAGATGACTTACAGGTTACATGTCTGATTTATGCTTCTGTTCTCAAGCTCTCCTTGTGTATTTATAAGGGTTTTCTCAGACAACTGGATTTGCAACTTGTTTTCTGATGTCTTTTTGAGAATAATATGCATTCAGTTTGGCTATAAGAATGTGTTTTGTTTTTCTTTTTAATAGAACAGCTTGAATACTGCCAACACTGAACAACAAACTGACACAGACTTCCAATTGTCCCCCCCACCCGCTGCCTTTGGAAATCCATTTGGACTTGCAAAATAATTCCCTTAGAAATGGTAAACACCATTTCTGCTCAGTTTTACTGAATTCTTGCTTAGACTGGAAATCATTCCAGTGTCCCGCTTCAGCCTCTCTGCTGCCACTCTCTGACTAATGTGTTTTAGACTTAGAAATTGGTCAGAAAATAATTGTGAATCTGAAATATCTTTAATTTCTTTGGCTGCAGATGGAGCCATTGTTTTTAGAATTTCTGGATTGCAGTTGATCCCTAGGTTTTGATTCAAAAGAGACCACTTACTGGTTTTGGAACTACTTTAAACCAGCTGCCATGCAGTCTCAATCTTGACAAAACCAGTATTCTAGATAATGTCGGTTCCAAACCAAAATTACACACATTTGTGCGTTAAACCTAATTTTCTTGGGCCTGTCATTGGTTAGATTTGACTTTGTAAATGGTGGTGTGTAATTTGTGATATTTAGTGTGAATATAATATCAAATGCTCCTGAAACGTTTTCTTATCTTTCCAGGCTATGACATTAGTGTCACTATTTTTCTTAATGTTGCTGATGGATTAATATCCTTGACTATCCACTATTGATGCTTATTAGGAGAAAATGGTGTTCCTACGAAGGTCATTGCAATGGTAAGGTTCTTAGAGCAGACATATATATAGATATGTAATATAAAAAATAGACCAAGTCATCATTGCAGGAGAAGGAAAGAAGGAGGCTTCCAGAGAGACAAATGTGGTTTCGGTCACTCTTGTTCTGAATCAGTCACAATGTACCATCATCAGCAGTATTAACTGATTTTTTATTTTTTAAGTATTCCCAGATACTGACTGCAGTGATTTGCCAGAAAAGGTGAAGAAAGGCCTGTCTATTTCTTCCAACATCAGTGCTAGTCTAATAAAAGATACTGTTTTTTCTTATGAACCTTGCCTAGGTTGTTCTGTAGCATTTTTTTGATGTGATATTGTCGATTTGTAACTTCCATTTCTGCTCTCTAGAACACAGCCTGCATTTTAATGGCTTGGTTAAAAGCTGAAAATATGAAATACCCTCCTTAATTCATAAATATTTATAGTATATCTAAGTTCCAGTAAGCCACATGCTGAATTTTTGACTGGTGTGGCTTTCATTAAGGTTTCCATGGGAAAGACAGTACCCTCTGGCTGAATATAAATGAGAGCTGTGCCTATCACTTTGAATCAGGCTTTCTATTTTATCTAAAACATGGAATATCGGAAGGAACAGAATTCTGCAATGTATGTGTATAATAATTCCTACTCTCCTGTTAGGACTTAGTGAAGCCTTGTTGTTTGGATATGTTTAGTGATAAAGAGTGATGAGAACTGCCAGCTCCAAAGTCTGTTCCACATGAGTCATACGGTTTAACGCTGCAGGCCTGTTGTGGGGTGAGGCGTCTTACGGACAGGAAATTCTGAGCTGACTCAGCTGCAGTCCTGGGCCACTGCAGTGTATTGACAAAATGAGTACGTCTTTATATTCTGGTCATCTATTCACAGGAAAGCAGAGAAAATGGATATTGTTAATAAGCATGCCTTGACTTCCTGAATCTTCTTCCTTTGACGCAATTTGCAAACCAGGGAGTGCAACTTTGAGTAGCCCCATTTCCATTTTATGGCTTTATAGAATTTTTCTAAGCGGGTTTGTGGCTTTTGATTTTTATATGATTACAGCTACACAAGACTACAAAGAACTCGTGACATTAGGGTGTTTGGTCTTTGTGGTTCAGTAGAAAGGATGATAAATCTCTTCAAGTATATTTATTTTTGCCAAAAACACCAAACTAATAATACAGAATACTTCCCCTCCCCTCACCCCCCCCCCCCCCCCCCCTTTTTTTTTAATATATTTCAGTTTAATCTCAGAAACAAGCAGCTTTTAAGAAGTATCCTCTAGAGAGAAGACAATACGTTGCCAATTAATTTCCTAATTGGTCAGATAGTGGAAACACTTGTTTGATGTGGCTGTTGGTATGTTTGAGAATATTTATTGCTTGCTCTTTCTCGAAACACAGTTGTTTCAGGAGTAATATTATCTCTAAAAAATTGGAAATTTGGTAATGGCAAACTCTCATGAAGTCAGGTTGGTAACGAAGCTACAGTTGTTGTAGAAATTCATAATCATCAGAGTTCCTGGCTGTGACTTTGCCACAGCTCTACTAGTAAGTGGAACTCTTCTGTATTCGTATGTGAAACTACTAAATCTATATGTCTATTAGTATAGAACAGGATAGACTATTCCAGTTGGAAAAGACTTACAACAATCATCTAGTCCAAATAGGAAAGGATTAACCCACTGATCTATATATATATATATATATATACACACACACACACAAATATATATTTTTTTTTTTACATTTCTGTAGATGAAAAGCAAATTAATTACTAAATGGTATGAAAATAATGAAAAAAATTAATCCTTACCCAACCCTGTGTTCTCCCTCCAGGAGCTGGGGATTTTAGATGTGTGGTTACAGCCTGTGTGGGAAGGAGTTACGTGTCTGATCTCACGCAGTACCTTGCTAAGTGACTCAAGGTCTGACATGGTGTACTTGGGGAAAATTCCTAGTAGTATATCTGTACCTGTTCTAATGGCATCTGTGTATCTTTATGGATTAAAGCAAATATATAAGCTTTCTTGTTACCTGAAAATTATACCAGCTAGATATGTAGAGTAAAGGATATATATGTGTAAAGTAGGGTAAAAAGAGATGCTGACAATCCTTAAGTGTTGACCATTTTCACAGCATTGAAAGCTAAGTTATTAGGACTTCCAGACTTTGATTGTAGTTGCACTGTCTCCATAAATGATATGAAAACTAACAGAACTTTTGTTTGACAGCATAGTAAGGTGGGATTGGTAAGATGTTCCAAGTGTGATACTTCTGCTTGCATGAATGATACGTATTTTATACATGACACATACTATGCTACATCAGAAAATGTTACATCTGTTGAGTTTCTAAACTGTAAAACATAAACATTTGAGAACTGAATGTTGTTTGTTGCCTGACTGGTGTATCAGTTCTGACACAGTCTGTGAGACCATGGCAGGTAGCTCTTTTGGAAAACTTTAAATGGAAACTGTTTTAATTGTAAATTGTAATTAAGCCCAAAGGGAACTTAATTTATTGAAGATGCTAAAATGCGAAGCAATGGATTTGTTATATATAAACTTCAAAAAAGTATGTATTGTAGCAGCTTAATCCTGGTTTATTTAATCATCCTATTAAAAATCTTTTCCTAAAAGTGTAGCAAATTAATTATATAGGACTTAATGAATGAATGAATGATTCATAATTCAAGCAAGCTTGAAATGTAATACGAGTTATATAGTCTTACCATTTTGATGCAAACAAGGCCAGAGTGTTGAGTACAGAGGAAGGCTAGGACTGCCCATAAGCCTGTAGAACTACCTCAAACTTTTACAAACAGGTTGTGCTCAATTTAGGTAGATCTGATTTAGCATTACTGGACAGTAATAACTCAGAAGGATCTTCCCCCCACCTCCCTTTAACAAGCTCTTTAGTATTTCAACACTAGTAAATGCTAGCTTTGAGTAATACACTGGGTTTTTTTTTGTTTTTCCAGGTCTATAAAGGTGAATTTCAGCTTCCTGACTTTCTTAAAGACGTGCCACAGGTACAGTATTGGATTAGTTTCCTTTTTGCGGGTGTAGAGGCAAGTTAGTATACAACCAGTGTTTATAAACCACTTCATAAATTTGATTTTCTGTTTGGTCATAAGAGAATAGGTGACTAGAGATTGTCCATGGGATCGAACCTCCAGTACTCCTGCTCTTACACTCAGGAGTTCCAACCCTCTCAAGTGCATGCGTAACTCTTAATAGTGTGGTGTCTGTAAACCTGAGCTGACTGAAGGCTGCTGTGAAACGTGAGGAAAGTTTGACTCTTTTATGTAGAAAGGTTTAAAGCAAGTACAGTATAGAGACTAGAGATAAATGAGATAATTTTTAAAAACAAACGAACAGTTCAGCCAGGGGTAGTAATGGTGTTTTGACTTGATTAAATCAAGTGAGCTATTGAGCTTCAGATTTCACTGAGAATTCATAAGGTGGTACCCTTCAAATGCTGTTAATTGTCATCAGCTACCTAAGAGATCTATAACCGTTATAGCAGTTGAAAAAGCAAAATCTTTATCCTGGAGCTTTCTTAAACTGCAGATTCTCTTGATAGCTTCCCCCCAGCGATGTGAATGTGTGGGGTATAGACATGATGGAAAGGTTTTGGGCTGTAACCACTAGCTGCTGACAAACATAGGAGTTCAGTTTGGAAGATGGCATCCCTTGCTGCTGGGCAGCTCTTCTGTGTCTCCCGAAGGTGACAGAGCAGAGAGGATGGGCCTGTTTCATGGTGCTGCCTGTTCCAGTGCTATGTTTCAGTAGCTTGAAGGGTTTCTTTGTGTATGTGTTTTGTTTCCCCCACCCTTTTTTTTCCTCTCCAGTGTATAGTGATATTAAGTCTCCCTCCTATAGCCTTGCAGATTTGAGCTCTGCTAATCTAGCCACAGAAAATTAGAGGAGATGATCTAGATGAAGGTGAATTAAATTATTTGCTCCTTATCAGAGAAATTACAAAAATATTTGCATTTTCTTGCTGAAATATTTTATATGAAATAAGCAGAACATGTAGCAATTAATTTTGTTTTCTTGGGTAAGAGCTGCTCAGCTAGGCTCATAGAAATACCAGTTTTTTGTAAGCTGTATAATTGATGGTAAATGTCTAAATGCCATCTAAAGTGCTCTCTACGTCGTGCTTTGATAGAAAAATCAGGAAGTGGGTCATCACTGTTACTGTCTCGTGGTGTGTTCAAGTAAAGTTAAGTAGAAAAATACTTGGTTGTTTTTCAATTCCTCCCGCATATACAGGAATATAGTGTTGCAGAACTGGGAGAGAAAGCATTTTTAAGGGCATTCTGCCTCCAGAATTGTGTATCTCTGCTGTCTTTACTTTATATTTCTACTGAATTTCCCATCCTTAATGATACATACAGTACAGAAGTTTATTTAGAATGAAAGTGTAAGTAGACTATCAGAAGTAAAATTTCTATGTCTTTACTTCTAAAAGAAAAAAAAAAGACTAATGAGCACAAGCTTTCTTGACTTTGTATCCCCAGTATTAGGAAAAGACTCTTTGATTATGACTTTTGTAAGATACAGAGATTGAAGAATACACAGGAGAATCTACCACGTGCAAACAGAGCATTTTGATTTACTCCATTCATTCAAATGAAAATGAATTGATTAAAAAGGAAAATTGGTTTCTTTTGTTCCAGCCAAAGAAGACAGTAGAAAGGAGGTCCCGTGGCAAGATAAAATGAACATGGATCAGTAAAGTCGAATAGCTGTAGTGTCTGTTTCATGTTTTCAGAATATAACTTTTTTGCTGTGAACACCAAATCTTTCTGACAAATCTTTGTGTGATCTCTACTGTGGGCTTTGCTCTTTTACTGGATGTTTGCCTGCTCTCACCCTTTGAACAGTTAGTGCTCATGCTTTGCAAGTTGTGCTCAGCTAATAGAAAACCATTAAGAACCTGGCACCGCGCAGCTAAATGTGCTGTTGCTCACAGCATCGTTCACTCTCAACTGCTGGCCAAAATGTCTATGCAGCTTAACGGCAAGACAACGATTTAAATGTGTGCTGCTTAAAAGTTATTGTCAGCAAATTGTATTGAGAAAGTGTGCTGTAGTTATTACTAATGCTTTCAAATGCAATTATTGTGGTTATTTCAAGATTTTCTGCAACCTTACAGATAAAAGTTGCAGCGTATACGGCTGCAAGCATAGGGTGTGTCAGAACAGAAGGAGATTAAATATTGCTGATAAGGATTTCTGGAAAATGCAGGGAGATAAGCTATCATTAAAATTTAGCACGCTGCATATAGATAGTGTGCTAGCAAAATAAATGATCCTTGATCTGCCTACAGTATCCATTAGTTAAATCCATTGGTTTTTTCCCAGTTATCTTGTGATACATCAAAAGAACTTGATCCACTATTTCTAGCAAATGTTCTCTTTCAATCCATATGACAGGGAAGTTTGAAAATGGGAATCTCCTAAATTTCAGGAGGTGGAACTATATACAGTTAGCTTGGAATGATTACAGTACTTACCTAACTCTGAGCAGTTTTATCCAAAGTAAAGTAAAACTAAGCTTTCTGAAATAGTAAGAGAATATTGCTTAGACCATAAACACTGACACTGGAGTTGAAATTGATTTGGACAGTGTTCTGCTTTAGTAATTATACTAAAGATAAAATTCATGTAATGTAACCAAACAGCTAGATGGTTTTGAGAGCAAACATTGGTGATGATAATGGTATTTTTTCCTGTAATATAAAATAGCTAATTCCATTTTAATTATTTACTTGACAGACTGAACCTATGGAATAGAAGATACAATGGATATTTCTTGCACAGAAGGTAATAAAAGATCACGTAGTCCTGCTCATTTGCTCCTTTTGATTTAGTTAAGTTGATTTATTTATTTATTAACTGGTGTAACTCCATGTATCATTCTGGGTAAGAAAAAATATGAAGATATGGATCTTGATTCAGAATCTGTAAAAATCACATTGAGGTAAGTCCTAGTGGTGAGAGCTACAGAAGCATAGATCCTGTGCTGCAAGAATCACGATGCAGTTCTACACGCTCATCACAATTTGCAGTATTGGATTGTCAGCTCTATTTTAGAGCTTGACTTTGAAAGGGGTACAGAAAACTGTAGCACTATTCACCCAGGCATTCTTCAGCAAGCATTCCTTGTTCATTTTAGCATCTGTGTGTCTTTTAGCACTGTGGCATACTTGTACAACAGATTCAGGTCCCCATGTTAACAGAACAGTGAAACTTTAAAGATGACTCTTAATATTTTTCTTCCTTTTTAAAATCAATTGCCCTCTCTAGATAGAGGAAACTGCTAAAGATGAGCTTATTTGTATAATTTGCTTTTATATGTCCCATAGTGGGTATTTTCAATAAACTGTATTGGAATTGTTGAATTTAACAATGGCAAGATTGAGCAGGGAACTTGGTAAATTCCAGACTAGTCAACAAACGAATGGTTCAAGATTTACTGTATTAATCCAGGATTTTTACTTGTCAACCCTGTTATCAAATGTTCTAATTTGACAACAAAAGATAGCAAAATGCATCGAGTTTAAATATAGCCAAAAGCAACATGCCCCACAAATAGACCCAGTATAGATATTTATATGTGGCCATAAATATAACTCCCTTTATAGCCATAAATACAGCCAAAAGCATCACACCAATAAGAAATAATGGATGTAAAAGCTTTCCAAAGATGAATTGCAGACCTTCATCCTGAAATCAATAGGGAAAACATAATCTTCTCATGTAGTCAGTGTTAAAATGCTGAAACACCTACTTCATGTTGCCACTTATGTCTTTGAAAAATGTATTTTAAATGACGATATTTCTATCTAAAGCTGGTACATTGTAATGAAAGAGACACTTCCAGTCTGTAAATCCAGCCCACTTTCACAAGTGCTTTGAATGTAAATGCAAATTCAGATTATTTTTTTTTTTACATGTAAATATACTCCAAGAAGTAACTCTAATTATAAACGATTGAAAAAGCAGCCACGTTCCTTACAGGGAAATTTTTAGTGGCTGCGGTTAATCTTGACAGTGACTTTTCACCTACTGAGCTGACAGTGATTACACTTAATTATGCGTTATTTGTAATTACAAAATGTTGTCAGGGATAAAAATAGAGTATGACATTGAAAGCTCAAACATAACTTTATTTTTCTTTTTCTTTAGAAAAGATTGCTGCCTTTTCAATGGAACTGATCTCACACGGACTGTCCCACTGCCATCAGTGAGGTGTACTGCTCATGGCTTGCTTTTTTCAGAATTTTCTCCCCCGTTTCTTTCATATTCTTTTTGATCAAAATTTTGCTGTTGTGAGCGCGTGAAAACCTGTTTAAAAACAAAAAAAAAATCACCGATGTTAATGTAGAACTGTATTCCATTCGCACAACTATTTTTTTAAGGTTTTAAAAAATGCAAAGCAATTCCTGTCTCCAAAATCACTGTTCTGTCTTAATTCCAAAACTCCATCTTCAAAGATTTTTTTTGTTTTTTGTCCTGTAGCAGGTTGGTTTTAAATGTATGAAGTTTTCAAGAGTGGTCTGTGCTTGTCCTAAAAGATTTTTTTTTTTTTTGGTGGAACAGTTGTTTGTTTTCTTCACATGTGGAAATTGTTAAATAACTTTTATTTAAAAAGTTGGTAATTTACATGTACAATTACAATTCAATGATCTTTTTGTATTTTATTTTTCAAAATAAATGCTTTAAATGTGATTATTTTTTTACTAATGTGTTTGCCTCAGAGTTAAGATTTAAATAATTCAAGATACTGATGTATTACTTGGATGGAAAATATGATCTAACATCCCGGGTATGGTTCTCTCTTTAAGGTTTCTGATTGAATGCCTCGAGTTTGTTTTTAATAGCTGGGTGATGAGAAAAAGTAAATTAGATTATGCTACTGAGTTATAAAAAAGTAACATAAGATTTGTTTGCTGCAGGGAAAAGTAGGTAATTTTTAGCCTATTGAATTTGTTCCTCAAAAGCAATTGTGTTCAGACAGGTGCTGCTGGGGTCAAACTGCTCCTGAAAACCCTGAGCTGAAATTTGTATCCTAAAGCTTTGAGCATCTGTCAGTCGATGTGGAACATGATTATTCAAGTCAGGTTTTTTGGGCGGGATAGTTTTTGTGTCTCATTTTCTGTCTGTTTGGTGGTTCTTGGCATACTGAAGATGGCCTCAGCCTTCACCAATTTAAAGAGATTCCCAAATGCTTGTGTTTCCACAACTTCTGCCTCTTAGGATGTGAAACAGTTTTGGTTTTATTACCATTTCTTTTATTTCTACAGCTTCATGGTGAGATCATTAAAACGTCTTTGGTAAAACCAACAGTAAATGAACAACGTTTAAGTACCTTCAAGTTAATTGGAGGAAACCTGTAAGGAAACAAGTTAACTTGACCAAATCCTGACCAAATTCAGTGGTTGGTAAAAGTAAACCCAGAGCAGCCCCTAGTGCCGAGGCAGGGCAGCGCTGCCCCTCGCCTTCTCCCTGGAAAACGCCGGTTTTCCCGGGCGGAGGCCGCGCGGGTGCCGGGACAAGCGCTTCCCTCTCGGCGCGGTCACTAACGGACGCGTTACGGGACGTTTCCCCTCACAGATGAGCTGTAATGAGGGGAAAAATCAGAACAAGGCTCAGCCGCGCTCATGGGCGGGATGAGGGG